TAAAATTAAAATAATAAAAATGAAAATGTTAAGATGAAAATGCAGGCACAAATGAAAAAATAAATGGGCAATAAGCAAATGCAAGAAAAAAATGGCTATGACATCTATTGATGAAAAATAATAAAAAATCATTTAAGATAAATTACTTGTATATATGTACACAGAAGGTTGAGGGAGGCCCCGTAGAGAGAATGGAATGGATAGATTTGAATTTTGTAAAGAGAAGTAGGGGAAGACTAAAAAAAAACTTATAAAAATTATTGAACAAAACATCTTAATTAACAATATTTTTAAAAACTTAATTAATGATAAAATATAATAATTTATGCAATCCATGAACCTAATTCTGTTTAGTAGAATAATGCTTGGTGTTGTTATCGGTGTCGTCGTTTTATAGTTATGAATTATTGGGATAATTAGATTATATTTTAATAGCTTGAATTTATTTATTTATATTTTAATAATAATTTTTGAAAAAATATTAAATACACTCTTTAAACTTCATCTAACGGTAGAGATGTGTAGTAAATAGAAAATGCACTACAAAATTATTACTTTTCAACTATAATGCACATATACTGATACATCTAATATGTTGATACTTTCATTTTTTAAAATATATGATATGATACGTTTTTGATAGGTGCAAATATATTTATAAAAAATTATTAAAATATTAAAAATATATTTTTAATTCAAAAAAATTCAAACTAACACACACACACATATAGTCTTTTATAGAGATGCCAAGCAAAACATTGTACTTTTATTTCATCTCTGCCTAATTATCTATCATATAGTCTTTGCTAACAGTTTCTTATTTAGGATTTAGATGTCAAAAGATTATATCCTTACATTTTTATAATTAAAAAAATATAATTTATATCCTTTTATTATACCTAAAACTGATCTTTTTAAGAAAATATAATATTTAATTTTAAAAGAAAATTACAAAAATATATTAAGAACAAAAAAATTAATATCATACTACTTAAAAATTTAATTTCTTAAAAATAATTTCAAAGTATCAGCATTAAAGTGTCAGCTCGCAATCTAAAAGTATTATATATATATATATAAAAAAATTAAATTTTTAAAGTTAAAAAATAATTTTTTAATATTCTATAGATGCATATTAAAAAAATATTGATAAAGATCGATATCGAACACGATATTAATATAAATACATGAGATAATTTGAAAATATCGGTTTCGTTGCTTTCCCAACCAACTTGAACTGGCAAATAGTTTGGCTTCACTTGTATTTCATATAATGCAAACCAATGGCTAATTGAGGTGGAAAAACTCTATTTAAAAACGCTTTTCCCCTGAATATAAAAAATGCTTTTTCCCTCAAAGTAACTCGACTGGGCTAAAAATGTATTCGTTCATTGAATCTAATTCCTCTTCAATTATGCTTTTCTAAAGAGAGTTGTATGGATATAAACGTGAACAATGTTGGTCACAGTTCTTTATTAAAAAAATGTCATTATCAATTTATTTATTTATTTTTTATTCTATCGTTTAATATTTTAAAAAACTTGGAAGGGTTACCATTACATGTTCAATTAATTCGTGCATCCATCTTATAGGACTGTTATTGTCAATAATGACTTCATGAGTATGTTAGGGATGCTTTTAATATTCTTATTTACGACAACTGACATTTTATGACTAAAACTTGATTTTAAAATAAACTAATTCAACTCCCTCAACTAATCTAAAGCCGTCTCTGTTCAAGTCAATTTTATTTGTGTCAAAATTGAAAGTTTGATAAGTGCGCATATTCTAAATCCGGGAGTTAATAATTCCTTAAAAATATCTATGTCGGTAAAATACAAAGAATCCAGTCATGAATTCCGTTAATTAACATCAAAACTAAAATAATATTATTAAATTAATGATAATGGCACATTTCTTGAATACAAATGGCAGTGGAGTCCCACATCAATATTTTATTTGGATTGAATAAAAAAAATAACACCGTGGATAGAAAAGAGTACCAAGGCATCTGAATAAACAAAGTGCTCTATAAAAGTCTCATCTTTTCTATCTAGGGCCCACAAGTCTTCAGTTTTAGCCAATCAAACACTGCTTGATATGTAATTATTTTCATTCTTTTTCTTCCTCAAGAGGATACAAAATTGCCCTAAGATGTTAAATTATTAAGGCTTGATGGATTCTTAACAACTAAATTAAAGGTCCTGTGCGATTTGTCCCAAAAAACAAAATAACATGTTTGGTTAGTGGGGCTAGTGACGAGGAATTGTGATTGAAATTGATTAATATCATCTTTTTATGTTTGGTATGAGTTAATGAGAAATTTAATTTCAATTCTAACCTCATTTATATAGAATTATCCAATACCATCACCCTCGTGATATTAAAAAATTAATCTTGAGATTAATTATTTTGTGACTAAATTGCCCTCTCCATCCACCCTTTTGTCTCTATCCCTCGACCTTTCCGCCCCGTGATTGTTCTCTCTCCCCATGGCCTCCCCACTTTGCCGGTGTTGTTGTCCCAGTTGGCAGCTGGGGTTGGGAGGATTATCTTGATGGAGAAGATGAGTTTTTTCAGGGCAATTTTTTAATTAATTATAAAGGACATTATAATCTTTTTATAATTTATATGTAATTGTGTAATAAAATAAATGGAAGTATTCTCTACAATTATTACCTTGTATCAAATGATAATTTTAAAACTTTAATTCTAATTTCAACCCCAATCTCTTCAAATTTAAACTTGTGTATCAAACAGGGTCTAGAGGTCTTGAATGGAATAAAATAGATTAAAAAATAAAAGTAAAAAGTAAGATGATAAAAAATGATAGGTAAACACATTTATAAAAAATAAGTAGTAATTTAGTTCGTGAGGTTGATAATTATGATTTATAATTTTTTTTTAAAATTGTGATAATTTTTATATTTATAATATATATTAATTAATTTTATTAAGCTTCTCATGGGAGAAAGGTGGTTAAGTTAATTTTTATTTTTCTAATCAATTTCAATTTTTTTTTTAAGTAATCGAACGGCATATCATCTTCTTGTACCTCTTGTCATATATCCAAGCAGGTACTCAGTGCTCATACAACAGGATTATGCCCAAGTCAATGCCTTATTAACCTTTTTTCCTCGGGTTATAAATAATCAGTGTAATAACATATCTTAGAATACTAAAGTATTGTGTACTTTAGAATACTAATTTTTATGTGAAAATAAAAATATATCTAAAATTAGAAACTTACGATTCTAACAATATATTTTTAAAATTATTTTTACTGTAATATTTTTATTTTTTTATACTTGTAATATTTCTATTTTTCCTCCGTATTCAAGAGAGATTATGTTACAACAAAAAAATTCAATTTCACGAGAAAAAAATGTTTTTCTAATAAAAGATATAATTTAAGTACGTTGAAAGTTTGATTTTTACGTAGTGATTCATTTTCTTGTAGCCAACTAGAGAGTAATATTTTTCAACGAAAAAAAAAAGAACTTGGATGCAATGTCACTCCCTTCATTTTAAAATACATGTCTTTTGCAAGTTTTTTTTTTTTTTTTTAACGTATGCTCTCATAAGTTTAATTCAGTATTTATTGTCAGCCTTTTTCATTATATTATATTCTTATTAATAACCTGAACACCGCATTTTTTTTTTTTGTTTTCAAAATTTTTACACATGACATCTAAATGTCATTAAATATATATTAATTATGATATTAATAATAGTAATAGAGAGAGAACATACAAGAAATCAATATACATGTTGTTATAAAAATAAAATTAATTTAGAAATGTCACATAAAATTTTATTTAAATTACTTCAAATATTTTAATTCTATATATTACAAATGATAAGATACATCCTATTTATTTTAATATTTCTCCTAAGGTAGATGACGACCCTTGTGTATCTACACATGTATCAATTTAATTAGGAGATGTCTATTCATTTTTTTTAACACCTTGGGAAGATATTTTATGCTCTCAATGGGTTCTTATACTTACAAGAAAAACTAGTATAAATGACATTCTATTATGTACTTTTCCTAAACTACAATATATGACATTGTTTACTGCTTTTTTCTAAAAAGAGTTATGTAAAATATTAATTTTTTTTAAAATTATATATATATATATTTTAATTATATCCATATTAAATACATAATATAAGTGTCATAATAATGATAATTAAAATTTAATATATCATTTTATTCAAAAATAATAAATGAAATAGGGGCATAATTAAAAATAATTATAAAAATTAACTAATGTCTCATGTTTTGGATTAAGTAAAGTTTTTTAAAGATATCCCATATCATTAGGACTCTATGGGAGTATATATACAAATATTAAAATATTTATAATTTAAAATAAAATAAGCAATAAATATAATAATAAGGTTAAATTATATATTACTCCCAAAAACTTTGAATCATACACATATAATCTTCTTAATCGTTAAAACTTTACAATAAACCTTCCTGAACTCTTATATTTATACAAATAATTTTATATAATTAATTTTATACATTACTTATTTGCACATAATTTAAAATTTAAGAGGATTATCTATATATTAATTAAAGTTTGAAGGGTTAAATGTATATAAAAATAAAATTTAAGGGGTATATAATTAATAATTTGAGGTCATTTGTATAAATTTAAAAGTTTAAGAAAATTTATTATGAAATTTTTAAAGTTAAAAAAGTTATTTATATCTGAATCAAAGTTAAAAAATTGTGTGCAATTTAGTTTAATATAATAATAATAATAATAATGGGGGTTATGGATTTTCTGTCCCATGCATAATATAATATGATATGATGATATGTGTACCAAAAAGCAAGGAAGATGGAGCGAATCTAGACACGGCCATATGTTTTGATATCCTAAAAAACACAGAAATAAATTCACTTATTAAAAAATAAAAAAAGAAAAGAAAAGAAGAGATAGAGAGAGAAGGAAGAGAAGAAGTGAGGAAAAAGCAGAGAATAAGAAGAGACCGGATGTTGACAAATTTCATGTCACTGTTCTTGGAAGGTCGTTTGTTTGTGTGAAGATTTCTTATCTGGGATCTCTCTCTTTAAGAATCTCTCTCTCTAAAAACCTCTGAGAGAGAGAGAGAGCGAGAGAGAAAGAGAGAGAGAGAGTGACCCAGCAGATCGAAATCTCCTCTTTTTCTTCAACCCAGTGACGATCTAAGCTTCTTCAATGTTGTGCAAAATCACCCACTTTGTTTTTTTTGTCCTATAATTATTGGTTTTAGCTACTTTTTTTTCTCCAACGACTCCAAAAGCCTGAATCCCTTTTGCTGTACGTGGAGGTCTCTTCCATGGAGGAATCCATCAGGTCCATGACGGAATTTTGAGCCGAGGTTATAGGAGATGACAGTCTAAGGTAAATTTACATTTACTTTCTAAATAATTTCATTATTTTATATTTTCTACTTGATAATGATTTGATTAACTTGGTCTTAATATTTTATACCTAGTTCTGCTTAGATTACGATAAACATCCTGGGTTCGCAATTCTGTGGCTTATTTCGCCGAACTTCTTTAATTTTTTGCTTATTGTACTCCTGTAAAACTCGATTCTTAGTTTGAATTCCTGGTCTTTAATTTTATTATTTTAGATTCTTATTTTATTATATATACCTGATATCACGTTAATTTGAATAACTCTTGCATTGGATCTGTTCCATTAAATTTTGTTGTTTATTTATGTTCTATTTCCCCCGTACTTGCAGTCTCTGTTGGGTGCGTTCTCTGTCAAATATAATTTCTTCATGGTGCTTGCTTTATTCTGTGCTTCACGTATCTGTCTTAATTAAAGATACCTAACCAACCTGCTCGAAGATTAGTCTGGCGTACTCTGAGGCCATTTTCTGTAAATTGATTAGTACGTTGTGCCGGCAATTTTAGCAGGTTATTGAAGGTTGCTAGAGGTGTATTAATCCTGAACCCAACATAATGAGAAGGAACATGATTGTTATCGTTTGTCTATCACAGTAATCGCTATGAATTCTTATTCTCACTAGCCTAGAAAGTAAACCTATCAGATTTAGCAGTTCTTAGTTTAACACTTAAGATTATATGTAATTGATTTAGGGTCCTATCTTGGTGAATATTTCTTCTAACTGTTGCTGTATCTCTCGTGTCCTGTTACAAATACATACGTCATGGATTGTTTTACTCTTAACTTTCCAAGTGCTGCATTAGTTACTATAACTCTCTAGTGTCTTTGTAATTCAGTTAATCATTTTGGCCTTTTCATTTCTATTAAACTCTTGTTATAATGTCTTTTTGGAAGAAGAACATTGCTGAATCTAACAAGAGATTGTTTCACATATGTGGGTTAAAAATATAACATGGAAATAACTAATAAGCAGAGTTAATTAAACCCTTCCTTAAGTATGTGCTGTTCCTTTCATGTATTCATTGTAGCATTTCTGCATCTGTGTTGATATGTATTTATGCCTTCTAGTATGACCTCGGTTAAAAAGGTCACCTTTTGCATCATTTGTATATGCAGGAGTGATAGGGAAAGAATGTTGAAATGGTCAAGTGTCTGTGGAAGTGTTAGAGTTCATTACAATTTAAAAGAGAAACATTAAAATCATACCGGAACAGGGAATATGTTGAATTTTTATTTGTTTATCTTTGGAATGTTAGTGGCTATGCAAGAGTTAAATGGCTAAGGAGGTGGTTATGTGCTTGTTCTTTCGTACATTCCTTACTTTATTATCTTTAATAATCTGAACTGCTTAAAACTTCTTCTATTTGTGAAAAATGAAGTGATATGCTTGCCAAAAGATTTCTTTGAGTGATATATAAGGACATTGCTTGAATTATAATATCACTGTGTTGAACTGGTAGCTACGTATCAGTTAATGAGTGCCTCTGTGGTAAATATCTAACTCATATTCACTTTGTTCAGTTATCAGAAATGGGAACCAAAGTGCAGAATCTACCAGGGTGCTACTCAATGAGAGATCTTAATGAGGAATCCAGCAGTTGTGGCTGGCCTTTATTGCATGGAGACAAAACACATACCAATGGGCAGTATTATAATGATTATCAGCCACGTGCAGATGGATGCTCAGTATATGATAAAGATTTTGTGAAGCAGATGATGCTTGAGCACGAAGCCATATTTAAGAAACAGGTATGAAGGTTCTAAATTCTTTGTTGTCCTTGGCCTGTAGCTTGAGTTGTATAGGTCAGGTAGGTTTGTGGTTACCAATTTGAAAATAAAGATGTGAGTTTTTGAGTAAGAAGTTTAGTTAGTCAAAGACTCCAAAGCTTTGTAGTTTGTAATATCTCCCATTTCATCTTCTGCAATGGTTCACAGGTACATAATATGATATTAATGGTTGTTGCAAGGTTGAGTTCACTCGGTTAAAAATTTAAGGCTATTTTAACATTGTTTTACTGTATCTACAGTTTGTTTTACTGTATCTACAGTTCAATATCTTTATGTATCCTGATAGGTGAACCTATTGATATATTTAAACTGCGCGATTAATCAGGTCTATGAACTTCACCGTTTGTACAACGTACAAAAGAGTTTGATGGATGAAGCTAAGAATAAAGAGTTGAGCAAGAATTGCTTGCCTATTGAGGCGTCATTTTCAACAGATCGCTTGGTGTCTCAAATCACATCTGAAGATGGCCAAAAATGGCATTATTCTGGCTTTCCTTTGGCAAATGCTACTGGTGCTGCTAGACTATATATTTCAGGCGTTGAGGGTGTTCATTCTTCTCTGGGTTCTGCTCAAGGAAATGGTAAGCATTGTGGTCTATTTCCTTTGTCAAATGGGAGTAGTTCAAAAGATGTTGTGATAGAGTCCAGACCCTCAAAGGCGAGGAGGAAAATGTTGTTTGATCTTCAACTCCCTGCTGATCAGTATCTTGATACTGAGGAAAGTGAAAAGCTAAGTGATGAAAATATGCGTGGTACAACCACATACCCACCAGATAGAAATTGTACACATGAATGGGAGAATAATGTGAAGCTTTCTTGTGGCAATGGTGGGAAGGCTGGTAGCCATGAAGACAGTTCACAATGTGATCAGTCTTCAAGGACCAGAAATGGTTTGGCTGACTTAAATGAACCTGTTCAGGTGGAAGAAACAACTGCTTCTGCATATGGTCATCTTAGTCATTATTCCTGTCAAGGTACTGAATGCTCTGATCTATCTGCCAAAGAGAAGTCACGGTTTTTTAATCTGTCTGGGGATGGTTCACTCAACTCATATCACAGAAGCGATATCCGGGCTCAAAATACTGAATATTTGGAGAATATTGGGACTGGAAGAGGATGGATTCCATCAGTGCTTGAATCAGGTTAGGCTTCTTAGTGAGTTTCTTCAAAACCATAGTTTTGCACTGAAGTCCCCATCCCAAACAAAACACATTTATTTAGCTGGGCAAATTAAATTGTGAAACTGGACATTTGACATTATTTTAAGTGAAGTGGTAACAAAATCATATTTTGTTTGAATTGCTAACATTTCAAATTTAATATGTCTTGATATAATGATTTCAAATTTAATATGTCATTATTCCTTGTCTTACGATTTCCCTCTTTCCAAGATAAATACCATAATTTGGAAAATTTTTGGATAGACTTTTAACTGAGTAAATTATTCAGATAGATATTTTCCTTTTGTATTAATTTCTTGCTTTTTTTGGTTTTATCTGTACTTCCCCATTTTGTAATTGGCAATGATCAAGCATTGGTGTCTGCTAAAATTAATTTTATCATCTAATACTTGATGATTACAGGGCAAGCCAAAAGTAACGGCACACCTGTTCCTCAAGTTCTCAAACAAGAAAAATCAATTTTACCGTCCCAAATTGGGCAAGATGGACTCAAAAAGGCCAGTGAGCATCCATCGGACTATCTAACTAACTTAAGCAAGATTAATACATGGAGGGAAAAGACAGTCTGTAATTTAGAAGTCAGTGAAAGAAGTCATGAAATGTCCATGAAGGAGCATCCTGAATCCATTGCGTCTTCACATAGAGTTGGTCACTCTGCTGTCACTCCTTCTTCTAACTTGGCTAAGAGTTGGTCTCATTCAACCTCTTCTGGGGAAATGGCAAGTAGCTTAAACCAGAAATTGATGTCATTTAAGATGCCCCCATGTTTACCTGGTAACTTGAGAAAGAATTCCATGTCAGGTCAGAGTGATGTGATCTTTGGAGATAGTTGGCCTGGAAATACTAATTCCAAGTCTAACTCAGGTTATCTATCTGAAGTACCTGTACAGAATGGATTTTACCATGGGTCTTCACCAGGGTCCCAGGAGCCATCTGTGAACATCTCGTCAATCAGTTATGACTATCTAAACCATAATAACGATTATAAGGGAATTTCTGAGCACCTTATTAACCGTGGTTCAGCAAAATACAATAAGGGTTCAAGCTGCAATAACATGGAGTCTGGAAGAGATCAAAACTTAAACGGGCTGTTTTCGAGTGGTTCATCCAATAACTGTGTTTCCCAATCAGGTTTGGGGATAATGGACAGAGAGCGCAAGCATGAGGAACATCTTGCAGTGTTACCTTGGCTTAAACCCAAGTCGTCTTTCAAGAATGAGTTGCTTAGCAGTGGCGGAGGTTTTACAGCTGGGGAGCCAAGTATCTCACAAGCTGTTTCATTATTCAACATAGACAAAACTGGAAAGGGGCCTTCTGGAAATTTTATGCGCACTCTAACTTCAGCTTCGTGTTCTAATGATTTTGATCCTAGGAGGACAGAGGCAGGTGACAGCTCTAATATTAAGAAAATTCTTGGTGTTCCCATATTTGGTATGCCCCATCAATCTCCCAAGAAGGAGTGTTCTTCCTTCACCTCACCCTGTGTGTCAATTCCTCGTCCATTTGATGCAGAAACAGTGGAAAATAATCAGAAAAAGGGGATGCTTGACATTAACTTGCCTTGTCATGCTGGGGTTCTTGAGTTGGAGGAACAGGTTCTTACTGAAAATGTTTCTGAGAGGAAAGATTCTTCTACCACAGAAGTCAACACTAGAACCCAGATTGATCTGAACTTGAGCATGAGTGAGGATGAAGAATCTTTGGCTCCAATTTCTACTTCCCATGTAAAAATGAAGCCAGAAATAGACCTGGAAGCCCCTGCTGTTCCTGAGGTAGAGGAGGATGCCACTGAAGAGAAGCTGCTAGAAACTTCTCTGTCATCACCAAGAGGCTCTCAAGACAAAGTTGGACAGCCAGAGGATGAACTCATTGAGTGCGCTGTGGAGGTGATAGTTGCCATTTCATCTCTGCCCTGCAATCAAGAGGAAGATATGATCAGCAGTCCATCTGAAAGTCCAATGGTGGACCCGCTTAGGTGGTTTGTGGATTTAGTTTTGGATATGTCCAAGGAAAAATGTGGAGAACATAATAGGGAGGAATCTGCCTCTGAAGCAATGGATTACTTTGAGTCCATGACATTGAAACTGACAGAAACCAAGGAAGAAGACTACATGCCCAAGCCTCTTGTTCCGGAAATCTTCAAAGCGGATGAACCTGGGGCAGCTTTGTTACCAACACGGACACGAAAAGGCCCTGCACGGAGGGGGAGGCAACAGAGGGATTTCCAAAGGGATATCCTTCCAGGCATTGCATCTTTGTCAAGGCATGAAGTAACAGAAGATCTTCAGACATTTGGGGGGCTTATGAGAGCCACGGGTCATACGTGGCATTCGGGGTTAACTAGGAGAAGCTCTTCTAGGAATAGGTGTGGCCGGGGAAGGCGGCGATTGCAGGTTACCCCATCTCCTCCCCCTCCCCCTCCCCCTGCGGCAAACAATGAAATGAGTACTCCGCTGGTCCAGCACCTCAATAATATTGAAGTGGTTGGATTGGAAGATAGAAGCCTAACAGGTTGGGGCAAGACAACCAGAAGGCCTCGTAGGCAGCGATGCCCAGCCGGTAACCCCATGCCGATCCTGCTAGCCTAATCATGTAAAAGGCTCAAATTTATGTACGAGAGTTTGTAGATGGTAAGCAGGGTCATTCTCCACATTTGGCATAACATTTTCTCTGGTCGGGGGGGATTTCTCTTGTACATTTTTTCAACCCGTATTTGGGTAACATTCCTGGTTGCCAGTCATCGAGTCATACCGACTTGTATTGTTTTTGAATAATGCTGTTTGATTTCTTTTTAGTTATATCTTCAAAGAACATCTGAGACATATATAGGCCCTCCTTCAACCAGTACCTTCTCACTTGGATTTCTATATAGCAGTGATTTTTTTAGCTATTCTAGGTGCTAGGCTGTGTGCTGCATTTGAGTACAGCCTCAAAGAACGAGAGCTTTGGTTAGCTTAGGCTATGTTATGTAGTTGTATGAATCCTCTTGCGACTCACTGTTCTCTGACGCTTTTCATTCACAAATGTGGCTCAATCAGCATTATATGCTTTAGTATTTGGAGGCTGAAATGATGAGTGATTATCTTCATGTCATCTTCATTTATTTAACTATGCGGAATTGCAAGTGCGGGTTGCATTTCATGGCCTGTTGGATGCTCCTGAGCAAAATTCTAGTTGTTTAATTCGGGGATTTTAGGTGGATTCTGTCAATTAATAAATTAAACATGTGAATATGCTAAATCTGAGTTCTGCAAAAATATGAGCTATATAATTGTAATCAACTCATTAATTAAGATTTCAAAGAAAAAAGGATCGATGATGCCTTAAATTTTCTCTCTTTTTGCACATTTTTTTCCCTAAACATGAAATTTTCTTTTTTAAAAGAGGAAGAAGATTCTGGTGTTGATTCATTTTATGAAGCAGATTTAGATTGGTTCAATTGCATCTGAACTCTTGGCAACAGGGGGGGTGTTTAAGAATAATCAACCAACGTAATGATCAAGAGTCATTTTCTGTCGGGTTGATAATGTGATTGAAGGACACTTGGTTTAACTAATTGAGATAGTTGAACTAGTTTATCTTAGAGTTTTGAGTTCAAGTCTTAAAATATAATTATGTTAAATAAAAATGTCAAAAATATCTTAGAAGTACTCATGAAGTCACCATTAATAATAACAGTTTCACATAATCAGAGTTTGGATTAGTTTAAATGGATGGTGATAATAGTCTAAGTTTTTTAGGATACCAGACAATAAAACCAAAAAAAGATAACATGGTGGGTATATGTATATGCATATATATTTACATATTTAGCATATAGAAAAATGTTTTCTATTAAACAAAAAGAAACAAAGCAAGTGAGAATTGAGATAGGTGCATTTTCTATTTCCTTCTTGGAAAGTATTTTTTCACCTATGAAACATTGCATAATCTCTACCTCCAATAAGATTTTCTTCAATATAAAAAAATAAAATTTATATGAAGATAAAATATTTAAAGAAAGACCGTTATTTATTTTTTAAATGCTAGATAAATAATGCATGAAAAAAATTTAATCGCTAAATCATAAGAAAAATAAAATAAAAAATAAGTTATTATACAAAATTGAAATATAATTGTAAATAATTATAATAGGAAAGATGTTTTTTTTTGGGGGGGAAATAGATCAAATACAAACACGTAGGGCACATTCCTACTCCTTTTCCCATGGAGAAGAGTGGCTCCTTTAAAGGGAAAAAAAAACATAACCACGCACCACCTTTACACATACCTGCCTTTTACTTGCATGACAAATCATACCTATAACTTTCTTTTTTTCAAGAGGGCGAGGGTGCCATAAAAATTTTAGGAAAATTACAATTTAAATGATTTGGATAATAATTTCATAAAATTTTATAGTACATTTCAAAATTTAAAAATAATTTGTTTCTTAATGAGAATTATTACAACCTGAAAAAAATTACTTCCACTGTATAAAAATATAAGATATTTTTTAAAGAGTTGAATGTTAAAAAATATAAGATATTTTTAATCTTTTAAAATATAATCATTATCTTTTCACAAGAGTGCTACTATTGATAATAACTTTATATTTATGATAAAATATTTTAAAAAAATAAAATTAATTTAAAAATAAATAATTATTTTATTAAAAAATAAATTTAATTAAAAATATTTTATATTTTTATAGGTAAAACTTAAAGAGTGAGTGAGTGAGAGGGAGGGCGCGTGGCCTCGAGAAAAAGAAAAAATGATGAGGTGGTTTTGTCGGTGGCGGTTGAAAGAGTGAGAGAGAGAGAGAGCGAGAGTCAGTGTCAGAGAGCGTGAGAAACATAGTAATAATGATGGGACAGACATGTTCTCTTCTGATCACATCCCAATCCCATGATTTGTCCCGTCCCTACTTCTTCATTCCCAATACCTAACTTACCAGCCTATCTATCTTTGTCCCTCTTCCCCAGTTTTTGCCCTTCCCTTTTCTTTTTTATTCTCTGCATAGTCACAGTTTAAATTGCATGCAAGGTCACTAAATTTTAAGGTAATTTAGATGAACTTTCTCACTTTAAAATGTTTATAATTAAATCCCCTAAACTTAAGTTTTGTTTTCCGAAGCCCCCATCCTTTAATTACCTCTTTTATATTATTAATAGAGCTTATGAGAAAAGATATTTTTATTATTTTTTAACACAATTTAATGAGGGATAAAGTTGTATTTTTTTTCTTTCAACTCACATGACAATGCTATTATCTTTTTTAATTGAGTGACATTATTCTCATTGTTTATTGTTAACACAATTTAAGAGAAAAATTACTCTCTTAAAAAAATGGAAGGTATTTTTTAAAAAATTTGATATTAAAAAATGTAAGATATTGTTAGTTTTTTGAAATGTAATCAATGTTTTTTTAAAGTGCCCCTATTGATAATAACTTTATATTTATTATAAGGTATTTAATAGGGATAAATATAAAAAGATAGGGTTAGTTGAAAAGTAGATAGCTATTTTATTAAGAGTGAGATTCGATTAAAAATGTCTTATATTTTTATACTGAGGGAGTATAATTTTATTATTCTTTATCAATCAAAGCATCTTTTTTATATCAAACAAATAAAAAAAATCTAAAAATTGTCATTGATAAGAATTATATAAATAAAAATTCATCTTTTAATATGAGAACACATACACCATTAATAACAAAAAATGTATAAAACTAATACAAAAACAAATGTTTAAAATTTTACAATGATAATAATATTTTTGGACAATCAATGCCTCTACTATCAATGGGTCGTGAGATAAAAGGGTAGGGAAGGTTTTTTTTTTTTTTAAATAAATGATATTTTTACCTTTATGAAAGATATTACTCATTTTGTCTTAAATTATAAGATACTTTTAGATAAATTCTCACATATCAATAAAATTCATTAAATATACTTTACAACTTTACCTTTTCAAAACAAAAATATAAATTTTAAAAAATATCCTTCATTTAATACTCTATTGATGAAATAATATTGAAAAGAGAGAATATATGATAAGAATAATATTAAAAAAGTATCATTAATGAAACCTTATTTTTATCAAAGTATCTTATATTTTAAAATGCTAAATTTTTTTTAAAAGTGTCTTATAATTTAGGACGAATGAAGTATAATTTTTATACATTTATAATTTGTTTACATAAAATAACACATAATATTCTATGCGACTTTTCTTAATATGACATGACGAATTTGTTAATAACATAATAGAGTAACTAACAGTAAGGAGCTTTGAAAAATAATTAAATTTTAAGAAATTTAAATTTAAACATTTAAAAGTAAGGGAGTTATATATAATTATCTTCCTTAAATTTTAGGAGGTTTTATGTATTTTAACCAATTTATAGTTATCAAAATCATATTAATGTAATTACAAATTAATTCATGAATTTGAAAATTTGGGTCTTAAATTTTCACATTACATATTCATAATTTTAATTTTTTTTTGTCACTTTAACAAATTTATATTACAATTTTTTAAAAAATTAGAATTAGAATTATAAATTTTGTGTTCTTTAAGTTATTTTTAACTATTTCATACTCTTTCCGTTCAAAAATGTAAGATATTTTTAATCGAATCTCACCTTTCAATAAAGTTGTTAATTATTTTTCAACTAACCCTATTTTTTCATATTTACCCCTATTAAACACCCTATAATAAATATAAAGTCATTATTAATACGAATACTTTTAAAAAAAAGATAATGATTATATCTCGAAAGATTAAAAATATTTTATATTTTAAAACATTTAATTTTTAAAAAAATATTTTATATTTTTATATAGAGGAAGTATATGCCAAAAGACAATAGGTTAGTTCATTTTCAGTTTAAAAGGTAAAGCATTGACAGCTCTAGAAGTTACATTGGGATCAGTTGTCATCAAATTCAATTAGTTTTTGGTTTTTTGCCCTGAAGTGCAATTCGTTCCACCAAAATAATAAGTTTTAACAAAAGACACACCGGCATCGAAAAGAAACTTAACAACAACCAGAAAAACCAAGACAAAAAAGCAAATGAGCAAAGTTAAAGTCAATGAAGCAAAACAGCACAAAACAACCGAAAGAAACACAATCAACCCACCCTCAATCCAACTTCCATTAAATCAGGAACACCGACAGCCATTTCAACCTCCACAGCATCCAATGTTACAATGAAAGACAAAGCACCAGCAGCCAGATGATCCACTAATGTTACAATGAAAGACAAAGCACCAGCAGCCAGATGATCCACTGTCTTTTTACCTTTACATCGCGTGAAATTAATAAAGAATCCGACATTAAAAGCCATGAAATCAAGCATGTCTTGAATAATTCTATGACAGCACTATTGACACAGATCAAGTTGGCCTTTCTTCACACAAGAGACAATTGTAGCACAATCACTTTCAAAACTAATTTTTTGATCACCCAAGTCAATGGCCAGCACCATTGTTGTCTTCAATGCCAGCACCTTAGCCATGAAGGTGGGGAGAGATTTTATTTTATTTTTTTTCCATAAACCCCCATTTGAATTCCCCATTTGTATCTGTACAAACAATTCCAAAAGCTGCTGCACCATCTTTCTTATGACATGCACCATCACATCCTCGTTAATCTGATCAAGAGCACTATTAGGCTTCAGTATTACAGCAATTGGGTCAGGAGCCATGTGATTAAAATTTCTCTCATTTCTACCTTTCCAAATAAACCACAGTATACAACATATATGAGCAATGTCATATTCTGTGGAGTGACTTTTAGAGTCAGTTATAACATTCCAACAAGTCTTGAAGCTTGTGATTCTACACGGATCAATTCTCATAGAAAAAACACTGCCAAACCATACATACTGAACCCATGGGCATAAAAATAATAAATGTTCCAGTGTTTCTACCTCATTCTCACAGACTGGGCAAAGAGATCAGTATATCATCTTCTTCTCTTTATAAGCTCCTCATTAGTAGTCACTGCATTGGATAAAAGCCTCCATACAAACTGCTTAATGCGTGGCACCATGCGAATATTCCATAAGTTCTTCCAGTCAGTAGTTGTAGCTACAGTTGTATCAGTCTTCTCTACTTCTTTCGAGTGTGCTCTGTTGTATCCAGCCTTGAAGCTGTATATGCCATTTCTTGCAGGTGCCCAAATCACTATATATTCTCTCTCTGTCTGCTGGATAGAGGTATTTGTTTAATGGCTTGGACAAATTCCTCTCTTATTACACCAGTAATCTGAGAAAGATTACATTGTCATCTTCAATCAAGCAAGCTGCCACACAGTCTTTATTCCCCTTAGAATCTTCACACATAGGCAGGTTGTGACTCATCAGAGATGGGATCAACCTATCTGTCCAAATCTTGACACTTCCACCATTGCCGATTTGCCAGCAAAGGTCTTTATCCAGGAACAACCTTCCATCCCCAATACTTGACTAGCACCAATATTAGTTTCCAATATTATTATCCAAATTATAATAATCCAGGAATTTTGAAAAATAAAAAATAAAATAAAATTAATAATAAGATATTTTGAAGTTATTGTTATAAATTTTAAAGTAAATTTATTAAGATTAATTGTTTACTTAGTAAAAATGACGTGTTATCCCACCGGTTGTGAGTTCGAATTATAAAGGAAGGTGTAAGAAGATATATTTTTATTTTCTAGTGAAATTATCTTGGTCCTTTAAAAAAAAAATGATAATTAAAGATCTTCTGAGATCATTAATTTCAACTGAGGACTATAAAATATTAAAATTTTAATTAAAGACTATGATCTTTACTTGAAATTTTAAAAATGTGAATTGTTTTAAATGCCCCTTATAGGAAAAAATTACAAAGTGAAGTTGGTAAATTTTCAATTCATTTTTGTATATTTATAAGTGATATTAGAACATTTTAAAAGTGAGTTTTTTTTTATATTAGGAAACAATATATTTTTAAGTATGGTTTTTTATTTTTCAACTGACATTGATAATATTTTCATCCTACAACAATAATTTCAACAGTATTATCTTTTTATTTTTTAAGTGGTCAACTATACATTAACAAATATAAAATTTAACAAGTTGTTAGATTCATATTCCTACATAAAATTAATAAATTTTTAAATCACTTTTATATATTTATAAGTAACTTTAAAATGTTTTAAAAGTGAGCTTTTTTTATATTAAGAAAAAATTTATTTTCCAATGGAGTTCATTGATTTTTTAACTAATGTTAAGAATATTTTTACGTCACGATAATAATTTAACAATATTATGTATATTTAAATATTTATATAAAATAAGGATAATTTTATAAAGTTATATATATTTTTTATTTTATGTAATGATCATAATTTTTAATTAAAATTTTAATATTTTATGATCATTAATTAAAATTAATGATATTAGGTCTTTAATTGTTATGTTTTCTTTAAAAAATGGAAGACACATATCAGATTTTTTTCTCTCCTTCCCATTTCCGTTTCATTTATGCGACCTGTTACAGGGAGGGAGGGGTGCGTGAGTTGGTCGCCGTTCTGTCCATGTTGCTGCTGTGGGAGTGCTAGCCGCCGGTCTTTCTTCTTCTTTCTCTTCCCCTGCTTCACCGGCGATGAACTTCTCCTTCTTCTCTCTTCGATTGCAGCAGTAACGCCGGAATCTTCTTCTCCCTTCTCCGTTCACGCCGTCTGTGCTTGCTTCAAGTTCCGATATGAATTTCTTTCTCTTTCTGTAAGCTTTGGTTCAGGTTCAGCTTCTCTCTCTGCTCCAGCCTTTGCGTTTGAACGCACTTAGAACAGAGAATCCCTAAAGAAAGCAAGTTCAGTTGACCGGTACAGGTAAGCTCATTCATTTCCTTCAGCTTGTAATGCTATTCCAATCCTATCTTCTAGCTTCTAGACTAATAAGATGGTACTAATCATACCATCAGTGACGATATTTGATGTGTTGGACCTCGTTCTCCTTCTTCTTCCCAGTTCGCGATTTGTGTGGGTATGTGAACAAAAATATAAAAGAAGAAATTTTTTTCTTTGATTACTTGTTTGTATATGATGAACTGGAATTTCTTTTCCTTTCTTGCTGCTGACGCGGAATAGAAGAGAAATTTGGGGTTCTTTTAGCTAGCTTTGAGGAATAAGAAGCTTGATGTTGTAGTTGGAATATCAATGCATACAAGGTGCTAGATAAAACGTTATGAAGAGTTGGGATGGATTAATTAAGTATATTCAATATATCAAACACTAGTATGATAGAATTGGATTCTGTTTTAATGTATTTTAATTTATTCTTGATAAGAAAGTGATTTTGGGAAGCACAAAAATGTACATAGAAGCCTGGAAGATTTTTGGGAAGGAGATTTAAAGAGTAAGTTGGTTGTTGTATGGTTGATAATTTCTAAATTATGGGATCGTTTCATGATTTGATTGTGGGATCTACACAAAGTGTTTAATGAAATGTGATAAATAGTTTATTGTTGATTAAATTATTATAAAAGCTAATTATTTTTATATAATGAGAGGTTAGAAATAAAATTAAAGAATTGTGGGAAAGATATTTGATTGATAATTCAAGGATCAAGTTTGTTTATTCTTATGATAACTTTTGGGATATATATAAAGTGTTTGATGAAAGGTTGAGAAGCAAAGTTGATGAAATTGAATCATACATGTTGAAATTTATCTTAATCACCGAGAGAATATCTCTTTTTAAGACTTCTATTTATGCTGTCAATCAATTAATTGTTCATGCTCATTAGAGTTACAATCTAGTGCTCTAAAAGTTAGCCAATGAGTCACCAAAAATCAAAAAGTGTTCCGTAGTTTAGAGGAGAAACACTGGATACTATCAGTTACATGTCTTAAACCCAAATTTAAAGCTTTCAAAATTGTTAATTATTAATTTGGCTAAACTATTCTTTTAGTCCTCAAATTTCCCTTGATTCTTAAGTTAGGCTCATTTAAAGTTTGTAATTTAATTTCTATAATGTTAGAAAAACCTTGGTTTTATTTTAAATCAAGTATTATTTAATCTCCTTATTAGTATATAAGTGTCTGGTATGTTCCTAAAGTTTCATAAACTCTCGGTAAATGGAAGATGCATATCAGATTTTTTTCCCTCCTTCCCATTTCCGTTTCATTTATGCGACCTGTTACAGGAAGGGAGGGGTGCGTGAGTTGGTCGCCGTTCTGTCCATGTTGCTGCTGTGGGAGTGCTAGCCGCCGGCCTTTCTTCTTCTTTCTCTTCCCCTGCTTCACCGGCGATGAACTTCTCCTTCTTCTCTCTTCGATTGCAGCAGTAACGCCGGAATCTTCTTCTCCCTTCTCCGTTCACGCCGTCTGTGCTTGCTACAAGTTCCGATATGAATTTCTTTCTCTTTCTGCAGGCTTTGGTTCAGGTTCAGCTTCTCTCTCTGCTTCAGCCTTTGCGCTTGAAGGCACTTAGAACAGAGAATCCCTAAAGAAAGCAAGTTCAGTTTACCGGTACAGGTAAGCTCATTCATTTTCTTCAGCTTGTAATGCTATTCCAATCCTATCTTCTAGCTTCTAGACTAATAAGATGGTACTAATCATACCATCAGTGACGATATTTGATGTGTTGGACCTCGTTCTCCTTCTTCTTCCCAGTTCGCGATTTGTGTGGGCATGTGAATAAAAAATATAAAAGAAGAAATTTTTTTCTTTGATTACTTGTTTGTATATGATGAACTGGAATTTCTTTTCCCTTCTTGCTGCTGACGTGGAATAGAAGAGAAATTTGGGGTTCTTTTTAGCTAGCTTTGAGGTATAAGAAGCTTGATGTTGTAGTTGTATCAATGCATATAAGGTGCTAGATAAAACGTTATGAAGAGTTGGGATGGATTAATTAAGTATATTCAATATATCAAACACTAGTATGATGGAATTGGATTCTGTTTTAATGTATTTTAATTTATTCTTGATAAGAAAGTGATTTTGGGAAGCACAAAAATGTACATAGAAGCCTGGAAGATTTTTGGGAAGGAGATTTAAAGAGTAAGTTGGTTGTTGTATGGTTGATAATTTATAAATTATGGGATTGTTTCATGATTTGATTGTGGGATGTACATAAAGTGTTTAATGACATGTGATAAATAGTTTATTGTTGATTAAATTATTATAAAAGCCAATTATTTTTCTATAATGAGAGGTTAGAAATAAAATTAAAGAATTGTGGGAAAGATATTTGATTGATAATTCAAGGATCAAGTTTGTTTATTCTTATGATAACTTTTGGGATATATATAAAGTGTTTGATGAAAGGTTGAGAAGCAAAGTTGATGAAATTGAATCATACATGTTGAAATTTATCTTAATCACCGAGAGAATATCTCTTTTTAAGACTTCTATTTATGCTGTCAATCAATTAATTGTTCATGCTCATTAGAGTTACAATCTAGTGCTCTAAAAGTTAGCCTATGAGTCACCAAAAATCAAAAAGTGTTCTGGAGTTTAGAGGAGAAACACTGGATACTATCAGTTACATGTCTTAAACCCAAATTTAAAGCTTTCAAAGTTGTTAATTATTAATTTTGCTAAACTATTCTCAAATTTCCCTTGATTCTTAAGTTAGGCTCATTTAAAGTTTGTAATTTAATTTCTATAATGTTAGAAAAACCTTGGTTTTATTTTAAATCAAGTATTATTTAATCTCCTTATTAGTATATAAGTGTCTGCTATGTTCCCAAAGTTTCATAAACTCCCGGTAAAAGGTGATTATGTTATTTTGATTTGGTTAGGCATTCATTTTCTTAAATTTCTTTGGTTTTAATTATGTGTTGAATAGACCTTTAGAATATCAAAAGATGGTGTAACATTATCATGTTGTTTCCTAGTTGCTGATGTTAGGTTTTAGCATAAAGATAGCCATCTCTTTGCTCCTTGTATGTCTGAATCTTAATTCATATTGTGTTATGGTGTGAAATTCCAGTTTATTAGGAAGTGTATTGTACAATAATTTTTGAACTGAAGTACTTGCTGACATGCAAATTTGCAATTGTAATGATTATTTTTCTATTGGTGTTCCCACTTGCTTTTCCTTGTTGGAGAGGCTAAATTTTTAAGGGCGATAGTGGTTCCTTTGTAGTTGGAATATATTCAAAGGCATGACTGTTGAAAGAAATTGTCACAAACATACACGAGTCTATGAAAAAAATGTTTGAAAAATAGCTTATGAATGTTTAGATTCTTTTACAATAAAAAAAAGTTCGTATATTAGAGGGTTGACTTTTAACATACTTGCAAATATTTGTGGAGGAACTAAATACAGCATGCCTTTTCATGAATCTAATGTTTAAGTTTGTTTTTGTGGCTTCGAGTTGTGCCTATTATTCGTCGCCTTCGAGCTATGCTAGCCATCAAGCTGCAACTGTTATTCGTGGCATACGTCTTGCTTGATTGTTAACTTGCCCATATGAGTTATGCTGTAACATTTCAAATTTTAATCCTTAAATTATTAAGGAATTAATCAAGTTTAATTATGATAATTGAGTGATTTGATGTGGTGTGTGGTCAGAGAGGTCTAATAAGTGTATTCAGATGTGATTTTAGCCCTAATTAGGGGTCTGAAGTGAAGTTGGCCCACTTGAGCATTGAAAAAAGGAGAAAATGTAACATCCCAATTTAAATTTTAATAGTTAATTTGGGTTAATAGAAATTTTAAAAAATATTTAGAGGTAAGCAAATTAATAAAAAATGATTATTAAATCTAACTTAGGATATAATTTTAAATTAAAAAAAATTAAAATTTATTAAATAAAAAATTATTAAATTATTATTATTATTATTAAAAAAAAGAGAAAAGGTATAAAAAAAAGGAAGAAGAAGAAGAAGAAAAGTGGCTTCCTCTTTCGCCGCTCTCCCAGTGCAATGATTATGTTTATATAACAATAATAAAAAAAAAAGAAAGAAGAGAGAGGAATGAAGAAATAATAAAAAAATGTGGGATCCATTAAATTTTTATAAAAACTCACCTGTTTCTTTCGTTTCTTCATTTCTATCCTTCGTGCGCGAGCTAAGGTAGAGTGAGCGTGAGTTGCTAGTGCGGGAGATATGAATTTTTAAGGTAAGAGTTTTTAAAAGGATATTTAGGGTGTGATTTCAAGCTTTTTAAGATTAAGTATGTTTTAAAAATTTTTCTTAGTGATGCTTTCTCTTTGGTTTTTGAGTTTGTGGTGGTAGAAAATTTAGGATTTGGAAGATGGATGAATTTATGTTGAATAAATATAGTTTTTAAGGTTGTTAGTAGTATAATAAATATTCTAGAGTATAAATTTATTGATGATCTTTGAATTTGTGGCTTAAGGATCAAATCCTAGACTAGATTTTTATTAAATTTGAAAATATATGTTGAATTATTAAGGTTTAGATGATTATTTGGAATGAGAAATGAATTATTATGGCTATAGGATTATGATTCTAAGTTTGAGACTCAATTTTTCATTTTTGGGTATTTTAAGTGCGAATTTATGAAATAAAAAGAAAATTTTGATAATAGAAATTAGTTTAGAAGTTGATTTTTAGATTATTAATGTTTATTGATGAGTAAAAGAGGAGTTAAAAATTTTACTTAATAATATTAACTCTAGATTTGTATTAAGATTGAGATTAAAAATTATGTTATATTTTTAATTCTATTATTAGAATTATTTTATTAGTTTCAATAATTAAAACTAATATTTATAAATAATATGTTATTTGTAGATTGTGTTGTTGGTGAAGATTGTGGTAGGAGAGAAATTTATAAGGAATAATTTATTGAAAAAGCCACGAGGTAATCTTGCTTTTAATTTGTGATTAGTGTTACTTCATGTTAATTGGGTGATTATTGAGAAAATTATGAATTTTGTAATATTGTATAATTGTGCAATATTATTATGAATTTGTTTTATTATTATGAGAGGTGTTGGAAGACTTGCTATTGTTGTTGTATTTATGTGCCACATGATACGCCCCTTTTGGAGCTCAATAGGTGGCTTGTAAGGGCTCGGGCTAATCTACCTTTGGCCGGATAATTTAGCACTGAGTGAGGATTACGGCTCGAGGTTAATGGAGGGATATAAGGATGGTTGTTTGTGTGTATTGTAATATTTCTTATATTTATTGGAATTATATTATTTTTTATTCTCACTTAATAAGCACGCACTTAACTGTTTGTATACACTATCATAAATTGGCTTTGGTTACTGAGACTTTTGAATCTCATTATGTGGTTAATAATTTTCAGGAAAAGAGCCACGAGTGACACGTGGAGGAGTCCTAGAGGTTTAATGGTATAGATCCACTGTCTCTTTTGAGTATTTGATTTATGATTTATAATGTTTTATATTGCCAATATTAGAGCTTTTTGTTTATTGACAATTATATGAATATATGATGTAATCATGCCTTTCAAATTATTTCTATTTTTAGTACAATTTGGATGACTGTAATTTTAATATTTGGTTTACTTTGGATTGGTTAAAATGGCATGATTATGAGGCCAAATAACTGACTTGTTTTAAAAATTAATTAAATTATTTATTTTACTTGTTGGGAGTATAAGGATGGATAAATGTGATTTAGTTTACTTGTTGGGAGTATAAGGATGGACAAATGTAATTTAGCCTAATGGCATGTGGGAGGTAAAAATTTAGTTGAAATGTTATATTGTGCGAGTTGAAGTCAATTATAAAATATTTTTATATTGAAATTATTGATATAAAATGTGTTGGGTGGCTGTAATCCAACTATGGTTGAGTTAAATTATTTAAAAAAAATTGGAGTGTTACAAATCTTAGTATCAGAGCTACATGTTTCAAAATTCTTATAAATTATGAAGTTGTTATACATTAACTTAGTTTATTAGCAATATACATTATTAAATCATAATGCTTCTTCATTATTTTTCTTATCTTGAGATTAATGTTGATTTAATTATGTGACTTCCATCCTTTAGGAGGGGAGAGATGATGTCCAAAATTAGAAGAGGTGGTGAAATTACCGGTAATTCTATAAAGCCAATAGGAAATGACATATCTTTACTGCCACAATCCGAGCCCACACAGCAACAAATGGGGCAGGGCGAGCTCATACAGCCACAACCAAGGCAGGGTGAGCTAATCATGAGGCAAATGATGGATCTACTACAGAATCTTAGTGACCGCATGAAGAGGCAAGAAGAAGAGTTGGCCGCTTTAAGACAATATAAGGAGAATGCCAACCGAGAGGGAAATGGCCAACAAGAAGGAAGCCATACCAAGGTATACAATATGAGTCAATCTGCTGATGAAGGCTCACCTTCCTATTCTCACTATGAAACTAGTTCAAAGAATGTGAGTCTCCACTCTAAGCAACAGACATCCACGATCACAAAGATCTGGAGTACTTCTTGTAAGTTTAATCCTCCTACTTTCGATGGAAATCTTAAGCCAGCGGTGGTTGAAAAATGGATAGATCAATTGGAGAGTATTTTTCGTATGGTTGTGTGCACTTCTAATCAGAAGGTGTAGTTGGAAATATTCCTGTTACAGAAGAGTGCTAAGAAGTGGTGGGAAACATCAGAATCGAAGGATGATTTCTCTTTTACTTGGGAAGATTTTAAAGCCATACTGTTCGAGAATGGACAAATGTGATTTAAGGAATACGGTTTAAGGTAAGATTTAAAATAATTCTCGAACAGTATAGCTTTAAAATCTTTTCAAGTAAGAGAGGAATCATCCTTCGATCCTGATGTTTCCCGCCACTTCTTAGCACTCTTCTGTAACAGGAATATTGCCAGCTGCACCTTCTGATTAGAAGTGCACACAACCATACAAAAAAAAACTCTTCAATTGATCTATCCATTCTTCAACCACCGCTGGCTTAAGATTTCCATCGAAAGTAGGAGGATTAAACTTACGAAAAGTACTCTAGATCTTTGTGATCGTGGATGTCTGTTGCTTAGAGTGGAGACTCACATTCTTCGAACTAGTCTCATGGTGAAAATAGGAAGGTGAGCCTTCATCAGCAGATTGGCTCACATTGTATACCTTGGTATGACTTCCTTCTTGTTGGCCATTTCCCTCTCGGTTGGCATTCTCCTTATATTGTCTTAAAGCGGCCAACTCTTCTTTTTGCCTCTTCATGTGGTCACTAAGATTCTGTAGTAGATCCATCATTTGCCTCATGGTTGGCTCACCCTGCCTTGGTTGTGGCTGTATGGGCTCGCCCTGCCCCATTTGTTACTGTGTGGGCTCCGGTTGTGGCAGTAAAGGTATGTCATTTCCTATTGGCTCTATAGAATCACTGGTAATTTCGCCACCTCTTCTAGTTTTGGACACCATCTCTCCCCTCGTAAAGGATGGAAGTCACATAATTAAGTCAACACTAATCTCAAGACAGGAAAAATAATGGAGAAGCATTATGATTTAATAATGTATATTGCCAATAAATTAGGTTAATGTGTAACAACTTCATAATTTATAAGAATCTTAAAACATGTAGCTCTGATACCAAGATTTGTAACACACCAATTTTTTTTTAAAATAATTTAACTCAACCATAGTTGGGTTACAGTTACCCAACACATTTTATATCAATAATTTTAATATAAAAATATTTTATAATTGGCTTTAACTCGTACAATACAACATTTTAGCTAAATTTTTACCTCCCACATGCCATTAGACTAAATCACATTTGTCCATCTTTATACTTCCAACAAGTAAACTAAATCACATTTGTCCATCCTTATACTCCGAATAAGTAAAATAAATAATTTAGTCAATTTTCAAAACAAGCTAGTTATTTGGCCTCATAATCATACCATTTTAACCAATCCAAAGTAAACCAAATATTAAAATTACAGTCATCCAAATTGTACCAAAAATAGAAATAATTTGAAAGGCATGATTACACTTATATATTCATATAATTATCAATAAACAAAAAGTTCTAATATTGGCAATATAAAACATTATAAATCATAAATCAAATATCCAAAAGAGACAGTGGATCTATGCCACTAAGCCTTTGGGACTCCTCCACGTGTCATTCGTGGCTCTTTTCCTGAAAATTGTTAACCACATAATGAGATTCAAAAGTCCCAGTAACCAAAGCCAATTTATGATAGTGTATACAAACAGTTAAGTGTGTGCTTATTAAGTGAGAATATAATATAATATAATTCTAATAAATATAAGAAATATTACAATACACACAAACAACCATCCTTATATCCGTCTATTAACCTCGAGTCGTAGCCCTCACTCGGTGCTAAATTACCCGACCAAAGGTAAATTAGCCCGAGCCCTTACAAGCCACCTATTGAGCTCCAAAAGGGGCGTATCACGTGGCACATAAATACAACAATAATAGCAAGTCTCCCAACACCTCCCACAATAACCAAACAAATTCATAATAATATTGCACAATTATACAATATTACAAAATTCATAATTTTCTCAATAATCACCCAATTTACATAAAGTAACACTAATCACAAATTAAAAGCATGGTTACTTCGTGGCTTTTTCAATAAATTATTCCTTACAAATTTCTCTCCTACCACAATCTTCACCAACAACACAATCTACAAATAACATATTATTTATAAATATTAGTTTTAATTATTGAAACTAATAAAATAATTCTAATAATAGAATTAAAAATATAACATAATTTCTAATCTCAATCTTAATACAAATCTGGAGTTAATACTATTAAGTAAAATTTTAACTCCTTTTTTTCTCATCAATAAACATTAATAATTTAAAAATTAACTTCTAAACTAATTTCTATTATCAAAATTTTCTTTTTATTTCATAAATTCGCACCTAAAATATCCAAAAATTAAAAATTGAGTCTCAAGCTTAGAATCATAATCCTATAGCCATAATAATTCATTTCTCATTTCAAATAATCATCTAAACCTCAATAATTCAACATATATTTTCAAATTTAATAAAAATCTAGTCTAGGATTTGATTCTTAAGCCACAAATTTAAAGATCATCAATAAATTTATACTCTAAAATATTTATTATACTACTAACAACCTTAAAAACTATATTTATTCAACATAAATTCATCCCTCTTTCAAATCCTAAATTTTCTACCACCACAAACTCAAAAACCAAAGAGGAAGGATCATTAAGAAAAAATTTTAGAACACATACTTAATCTTGAAAAGCTTGAAATCACACCCTAAATATCCTATTAAAAACTCTTACCTTAAAAATTCAGATCTCCTGCACCAGCGACTCACGCTCACTCTGCCTCAGCTCACGCACGAAGGATAGAAATGAAGAAATGAAGGAAACAGGTGAGTTTTTATAAAAGTTCAGTGGGTCTCACATTTTTTTTATTATTTCTTCGTTCCTCTCTCTTCTTTCTGTTTTATTATTATTATTATATAAACATAATCATTGCACCGGGAGAGCGCCGAAAGAGGAAGCCACTTTCTTCTTCTTCTTCTTCCTTTTTTTATACCTTTTCTCTTTTTTTAATAATAATAATAATAATTTAATAATTTTTTTATTTAATAAATTTTAATTTTTTAAATTTAAAATTATATCCTAAATTAGATTTAATAATAATTTTCTACTAATTTTCTTACCTTTAAATATTTTTTAAAATTTCTATTAACCCAAATTAACTATTAAAATTTAAATTGAGATGTTACAGAAAACATGAAGGGATTATCTCTGTGCCATATGCCGCAGAGTGCAGCATATTCGTTGCGGTGCACAGATGACAAATGAAGGAGGAGGACCTTAAAGTTTCTAGTAAACTTGTTATGAACAGACAGAAAATCAGAAGAAAAAAAGGGAGAAAACAAATAGCAAATGACATTCCTCTGTTAAGGCATGAAGATTCAAAGCTTTGAGAGCATTTTAGACCCTGTAATCACTTAAGGTGAGTTCTTCAAATCCTAATCTCCCTTTCTTTTCCATTTCTTGAAGTTTTTGGTTAGGTTTTAAGATGAGATGATATTTTCAGTCCATATAAGCTATGGGTCTAAATTCATTAATTTAAATGGAGTTAATGAGAGTTGTTTAGAGTAATTAAACCTAGTAGTAGTGGTTGTGGAGGTTGGTTGGTGAATATTATTAATATCCAAAAATGGTATTAATGAAGGTCGTTGGAGGAGTTTAAATGCCTTTAATGAAGGTTTAATGACTCATTAATTACAATGTGAGTTAAAGAGACTTGGTGTACCCAATAAGTAAGCTCAAATGCATGAAATAAACGTATTGAGTATTGTAGAAGTTGTAGAAGTGAAAATGTGAGAGTTAAAAATGTGTTTTTAACAATGTGATGAGTTTAGACTTGATTAATTATAAATTAATCATTTGAGCATTGTGTTTGGCTTGGAAAGCAAACTTGGAAGCTAGTTATTGAGGGGTAAAACTTTAACTACTCAAATATTTGAGGTAACTAATGGAACTCTATTTTAGATAGTTATTTATTAATTGTGTTATAACATGAAATGTGTTTATTTGTATGTACAATTGCGATTTGTGAATGTGTAAACAAGTTAGGAAACATGAGCTAATATATTTGCTTTGATTGAACAAAAATGCAAAGATGAATTCAAAATGAATTTCAAATTACACTGTGGTATTGGAACAAGTAGTTGACGATTGGTATGATAAATTTGATTTGTGATTAAGTATAATGGGATAAAAATAATTGTGTTGAGATTAAAAATGATAAATATATGTGATATATGAGAAAATGAGATTGATGCTTACTTGGGTAACGCATTGTCGTAAGCCCAACATGTCGGTATTGAAATAATGAAATTGTAAATGGGTGAGTATCGTATATTGTATGATCAGTTGGTGAGAATTCACTTGGGGAAAGGAGTAGATTAAAATTTATATAGTATTTTTGGTTGTCTTTCGATGCAAGAGGATATAGCCTTGTCTCATAGTTTGTTGAGAGATTGTTCCATAGTTTGTTGAGGGACTAGAACCTAGCTATTTCCATTAGTTTATTAAGAAGATTAGCTTAGAATATACGACACTCTAGAGATTTGAGAGTGGGAGAAGTCATAGTCTGAGAG